GCAAACACCATATTATACCTATTTTATTATCAAATAATAATTACAATAATAATAATAATAAAAAAGTATCTAGAAAACTTCGAAATTTTAATTTTGTATAGAGTAAATTTTTAATTTTTAATAACTATTTTTTATTGTTAAATAATAATTATAATAGTAGAAATTTATTAAACACATAATTATAAATTTTGGATAGTGTATGTAAACTTTTTATTTTTTAAAATTATTTAATATAATTTATTAAACACAAAATTTATAATTTATAATTTTATAAATATAAAAATATAATTTTACATGATAAATTAATTTGGCTTAAAATTTTATTAAATACTTTTTAAGGGGAAGGATAAATATGATTTATAATTTATTTATTAAATTTCAATTAGGATGTTTTTCTTTATGACAAAATATTTTTGATATTATCTATTTAAAATTATAGATTTTTAAAGTGGTCCATAACATCGCTATTATTTAAAATTATTTATTTAATAACAATAATAAAAAACACGTGTTTGGAACATAATTTTCTTTGAATTAAATGTTTTAGATAATAAAATTTTATTTAAAAAAAGAATAAATGATCCGAAAATCAGGACCAAATGTTTTATAGTTGTAATGGATGGATTGAGATTTTTTTTTTAAGAAATAAAAAAATTAAATTAAAATGAGAAAAATATTTCCTTATTTGTTTTTCCGCAGATATTTTGTGTTCAAAAGAAAATTTAAAAAATATTTAAAAATTGAGAATAAATAATAAAATTGGGAACTTCTGATGTTGAACAGAAAAAGGAGAAATCGGTAATTCAACATCACCGTGACCAACAGACATTGAACAGACAGGGGCATTATTGTCTTTTCAGTCAACCTTTTTCGCAGATGAAGGGCAATTCAGTAATTCAACTGTGAGGCACACAAGCCACGTTGTATATGAAAGGGTCATTCAAGTAATTTCATTTCACCTTCTTTCCTCCCCCAGCATCTATAAAAGAGGCTCCTGTGCGCCTTCTTCCGTGTCTTCAGGATTTTTTAAAATTGGAAAACGCTCTCTTTCGTGAAGATATTTTCAGTCCAATCGTTCATCAATTTGTAAGTAATCTTTCCCCTTTAAATTCGTGTAAGAATAGGTTGGATACTCTGTTCTTTCGATTTTTCAGAACTAACAGAGTTGTATATTAGCGCTCTAATCCCTAATTTTCCCTCCATTTTAGCTGATTATTATAAGCTAATCTAAGGAAATTAGTTGTCTATAAGGATTTTAGAAGCCTGAAACATGCATACTTCTAGTTCTCTGGGAATTTCTACCATGAAACCTTGTAGGATTCTTTTTAGCTTCAAATCCTCCTCGATGTTTGGAACAACCTCATTGCCCAAGGCTAAGTGTAGGAGGATCGGTAGATTTTCGAAATTAGAGCCGAGTGGGCGTAAAATAGTAGGATCTGTACAGGTTGTTGGTGATTTGAATAGGAGATGCTTTAGTTGTTCTAATTTATATCGGTTGTATAAAGGTAACAGTGGTAGAAATAGGTGTTTGATTGCAAATGTAGCTTCGGATTTTAGAAATCAATCGACATCAGCTGAGCCTCATGTGAAACAGAAGAGCTTTGAGAGAATTTATATTCAAGGAGGGTTTAAGGTTAAGCCATTGGTGATTGAGAGTATTGAGACGGATCTTGTGAAAGATGAAAAAAAGGTGTCTGAGGTTGAGGAACTGAGTGGTTTGAAGGGCTCTAGGGTTGAGAGAGAGGTGTCCAAAATTGAAAAGGAGGCATGGATCTTGCTTCGAGACTCTGTTGTGAACTATTGTGGACATCCTGTTGGAACTGTTGCTGCTAATGATCCATCTGATACTCAGCCACTGAATTACGACCAGGTTTTTGTTCGTGATTTTGTACCGTCCGCCTTGGCCTTCTTGTTAAATGGAGAACAGGAGATTGTCAAGAATTTTCTCCTTCACACCTTGCAATTACAGGTATAGACTTACATGTTGAGCTTTTTGTTTATCTTGTATATGCATACCTGGTCTCCTTAATTTGATGCTGAGTTTTAAGTAAAATTTACTGCGGTTGGATGATGAAAGTTCCACATTGGCTAATTTATGGAATGATCATGGGTTTATAACAAATAATTCTCTCTCCATTGGTATGAGGCCTTTTGGGGAAGCCCAAAGCAAAGCCATGAGAGCTTATGCTCAAAGTGGACAATATCATACTATTGTGGAGGGTCGTGTTCGTCTAACATGTTATCAGAGCCGTGCCCTAAACTTAGTCGTGCCAATAGATTGGTAAATCCTCAAATGTCGAAGAAAGAACTCCAAAAGAAATCAACCGTCTATGCTATATCACGACATCTCATCATCCTGAAGTGGAAGCACACTAACATTTTGAGAGACCTTTTTCTTACAAGTCCTAATGATATTTATTAGTACTACAGCTCACATCGTTCTTTGAACTGAAATCAACGGTCTTTATTGTTGATTAGAGTTGGGAGAAAACCGTTGACTGTTACAGCCCTGGGCAAGGGTTGATGCCAGCAAGTTTCAAAGTTAGAAGCCAACCTCTCGATGGAAACGATGGAGCTTTCGAGGAAGTTCTCGATCCTGATTTTGGTGAATCTGCCATTGGTCGTGTTGCACCAGTTGATTCTGGTAACTATAGATTACTGTGCAAACATGCAACTTTACATTTGCCATAGAGTTTGAAACCTTGTTACTGTGTATGCTTGCTCGCAGGGTTGTGGTGGATTATTTTATTAAGAGCTTATGGAAAGATTACGGGAGACTACACATTGCAGGAACGTGTCGATGTACAGACAGGCATAAGACTGATCCTTAATCTCTGCTTGACGAATGGGTTCGACATGTTTCCTACTCTGTTAGTTGGTGATGGCTCGTGCATGATTGATAGACGAATGGGCATTCATGGACACCCACTTGAAATTCAAGTAAGAATACTAATTGATCATCCTTCATAGCATTTGCAGGCAATCCTTCACGGTTACTGTATGTATAGTTAAGATCATTTGCAGGCAGTTCCTTACTGTGGTTAATTTGTTTTGCAGGCATTGTTTTATTCGGCCTTACGCTGCTCCAGAGAGATGCTGATTGTTAACGACTCGACGAAGAATTTGGTGGCTGCCCTGAACAATAGGCTGAGTGCACTCTCCTTCCACATCCGGGAATATTTCTGGGTCGATAAGAACAAACTCAACGAAATTTATCGATATAGAACTGAGGAATATTCTACCGATGCAGTGAACAAGTTCAATATATATCCCGAACAAATTCCTGGTTGGCTGGTGGACTGGATTCCTGAGGAGAGTGGCTACCTGATTGGCAATCTACAGTCTGCTCACATGGACTTCAGGTTTTTTACGCTCGGAAATCTTTGGTCCATTGTTTCGTCACTCGGGACTCCGCAACAGAATGAGGGCATTCTGAACTTGATTGAGGCCAAATGGGATGACCTTGTGGCTAACATGCCTCTCAAGATATGCTTCCCTGCCATGGAACACGAGGAATGGCGCATAATAACTGGAAGCGACCCGAAGAACACGTTAGTCTCTTTAGAGTTTTGAAAAGTAGTCTGATTTGAAATATATCAAAATACTCGTTACCAAGCACTGACAATTATCTCTGCTTTTCCTGTTGGCAGTCCTTGGTCATATCATAATGGAGGATCTTGGCCAACTCTCTTGTGGCAGGTGAGGGACTTTTCTTATTCAAACTTCTGTTCAAACTTGATTAACCATTCATTATTCTCATTGCTATTTTTTGTGGACATCTTTTCAGTTCACACTGGCCTGCATGAAGATGGGGCGGCCAGAGCTAGCAAGGAAGGCCATTGCAGTGGCTGAGAAGAAGCTTTCAGCTGATCGTTGGCCCGAGTACTACGACATGCGCAGTGCAAGCTTAATAGGGAAGCAATCACGCCTCTTCCAAACATGGACGATTGCCGGTTTCTTGACATCAAAGTTGCTTCTGGAGAACCCAGAGAAGGCGTCTCTATTGTTCTGGGAGGAGGATTACGAGCTTCTTCAAGGCTGCGTTTGTGTACTCGGCACAGCCAATGGAAACAAGTGCTCTCGCCATCGTCCTGGCCAGCATCGAAAACCGAATAATCTCAACCATTAGCCTAACAACTGTCTCTAACAGATGAAGTTCTTCGGAGGTGCATTTTTCACCCCTCCGGTGATTCTCTGAGTATAAAAAAATGCAATTTGAGGCTCAGTTTTTGAAGAGTCTGTATTGTTGTATTCATTGGGAGTTAAACGTATGATTCTGAATATTCTTTGGAGTTGGAATACGTTTAGGATAAATTTGAGGTTACTATTTATAGATTGGTATTTGGTCAACCATTTTAAAAAATTATCCTAAATATTTTTAAAAATAATTTATATCTCGACTAGTTAGTTGAGCTATACTTTTACTTTATAATATAATCTTGTAATGTACAAATGTCATGCTATTTTTATTTAAATAAAAGATTTTAAAATTCTCTATTTTACTTATTTTAAAAAAAAAAGATATATATATATATATATATATATATATTTTAAATTATGGTTTCTTGTATTTTGAATTATTTAGGATTTAATTGCCAAAAAAAAAAAGTTAATAAATTTTAGCAAGAAATAAAAGTTTTTCATCCATTGAAACATCAGCACCAGTGGTCTAGTGGTAGAATAGTACCCTGCCACGGTACAGACCCGGGTTCGATTCCCGGCTGGTGCATTTTTTATTCAATAATTCAATTTATGGTTTGAACATTTATCCATCATAATTTTGTTTTAATTGGACTTTATTGGGCTTCGAACATGCTCTGATGGGAATTGTGTTGGCCCACTTCTACATTTCTTAGGTGTAAACCGTTTTTTAAAATTAAAATGAAAATATTTATTATTTTTAATTAAGTTATTTTGTAGCTTCTTCTTCACGCAAGTTTCTCAGACGGCTATTTATTAACTTCCCTGCTCTTTTCTGCATTCTTCACTCCCAAGTTGCTCTGTTTTCTTCGTAAATCCATCCGCTCTCTTTCGCTCTCTTTCGCTCTCTGTTTGAAGTACATTACACTGTAAGTTTGTTCCCTGAAATTTTTGGAGGTTTTCTATTCCTGATTGCAGTCGAAACGGCAATTCATTATGTGTTCGTTCTCTGAAGTTTCTGCGTAAAATCTCTCATTATCGAGTCGCGCTCTTCACCTTTTGGAATTTCAAACGGAAGTAGTGGATCGAAACCTGCTACAACGGTTGATTATCGATTTTTTTTTTTTGGCTAGGTATACACTTTTCTCATTTGAGGACTTTTCTCGCCTGAATCTCATTGTGGAAGTTTTTGATTGATATCTTGTACTGAACATGTGTAGGTTTTGTTCTTTATTTTGATGCAACATTATACGATGTAAGTACCTATGAGATTATGGATCACATCACAGTGCCAAATAAATTGAGTCGGTATAGTTTCTTATTTCCACCCGTCTACTATTTACCATGGAAGATTCTTAAATACCTACGGGTTTCGAAGGGTTGAAATTTTTTAATTATTTTAGGGTTCTTATGGATCGTGTGTCGCCTCGTTCTCGCTTGAATTACAACCTTGTCACTGCTTTAGTCCTAACAAGGTGAATTTTCTGATACCGTTATCTTTATAAATATTGCAACATTTTGTTTTAATTTATGGAGTACGGTCCCGTTTAGAGCAAAACGAAGGACCTAGACCTACGTGAAACCTAGAGAGCCAAGAGAAAACAGAAAATCCTTAGGTTGTGAAGATTGAGGACTCCTTAAAAGAGATATGTTAAGGGTTAGTTACACAGTGACGTATAAAGTTTGACACTGACATTAAGCCACAATTTGACTATGGTTAAGATAGTTACTAGCACGTAGCCTAAGTTTCCATGTTTTGGATTAAGTATGACATTTTTTTTAGATAGATGGAGTGTAAACCAGTCTTGATGGAGGGAGTGTGCAGAGCGGTGCAATTGTTGCAAGGGGTGCACTTTAGATCTTGTCGTCTTCCTACCTATCTTTTTATTATGATTTTAAATGCTACTTTTCGAAACTAATATTTTTTTTTGTAAAATGTTTTGATTTGAATGGGCTAATATTACCATGTCCGTTTTGAATGCATTTTTAAATTTTTAATTCCTTGTGTATGGATTGTGTGGACAGTATTTGAAGGAACTCATAAGATGTAGCCATGGAAATCAATTAGCTCAGTTCATTATATAAAGTGCGTTGCTTCCATTATGCATTTCTATTTGCTTTTATTTCACATTTCCTCCAAATGATTGCATCTAGAAATTGAAGGTTGACTGTGCTTTTCCTGACATGAAAAGGTTTCGCCTACCATATCGTTAATATATTTTGGTGGTTTAATTTTTCGATTCTCGATGATCTGTTATGGACTTTCGGGTTTGCCTCGGTATCGTGTTCATACGATTGTATTGAATGATCCTAGTGGTTTGCTTTCTGTTCATATGATGCATTTAGTTGTTGGTTATACCCTTCATGACTCAAGTTTAAGAATAACCATGTTGGTTATACCCTTCATGACTCAGTCTAGGAATAACCATGTTAGTTATACCCTTCATGACTCATTTAGGAATAACCATTTTATGGGGGGTTGGAGTATCACAGGAGGGACTATATCGAATCCGCGTATTTGGAGTTACGAAGGTGTGGCCGGAGCACATATTGTGTTTTCTAGATTGTGCTTCTTAGCAACTATCTGGCATTGGGTGTATTGGGATCTAGAAATATTTTGTATATATTCCTCTTCATCGATACGCTTGCTCCAGTTCTATTTCGAAACCTTAGCAATTATATCTGCTTTGTAGTTTAAATTTCGTTAGTTTTATTGTTTTGCACCAAGTGTTTAAAGATTTCGGTCTTCATCTTCCTTGATCTAAAGGTTTATTAAAAGGTAAATAAATAAGTTGAGGTTTCAATGATATTTTAACAAAAAATAATTAATAGTTTAAAATTCTCTTTAATTTACTACAAAAGGAAAAAAAAAAAAAAAGTCAAGATTGAAGTGTTATATATATGTATGAAATTAGATCATCAAAATTTTCGAACTATTTCTACATGTGCCCTTGGCATGAACATGTCTTCTTTTTTAATTCAACAATGGTGAAGGTGAAGGTGAAGAATCGAACTATCCAACTTTAGGACTGTAATAAGTGTCTTTTTCTATGAGTCATGATTTGTATTAAGGCGCAAATTGAGTAATTACAAAACTACCCATACTAAAATAAAATTCCTTTATGAGAATAATAATTGATGCTAAATACAGAAACATTTAAGCTAAAAATTCAACTATTGCTCGTTTCATTCTAAAATAAGCTCAACAAAGGGTTAAGATAAAAACTCAATTATTGGTCGTTTCATTCCACAATAAGCTCAGTTTTCCAGGTTACACAATCCTTTTATTTATATTTATAGGCTAAGAGGAGAACGAGTTCAGCGATGAATGCTAAGGTCATGAAATGTCCAGACTTTCTAAACTGGCAATAATGGAAGAAACCAACGAAACAAACAATACCTTCCAAGGCATTTGATAACTAGAACTGGAAGATGGCAGCTCCACTCGATGGCTTGGAAGCAAAGACATAGAGATCGACGTCGTCATTCTTGATGGTTCCTCGGTCGATCCTCGATTTGTAGAATTTCTCCTGGTGTGAATCAAATGGCCAGAAGTTCTAAACTAAATTCCAACTTTTAACCAGGAAGAAAGACATTCGCTTTTCAGTTATTCCAGTGTCAAAAAACTAACCTTCAGGTTGAGAATGAACTGGGGAACAATGGCCTCTTTTACGAGAGCGACCGCGCAGCCTCCCCATCCTGCTCCAGTTAGCCTGGCCCCGAGAGCACCGTTGTCCCGGCATATATTTACGAGTTCCTCCAACTCAGGACAGCTGGGAAAACAAACAATAAGATGGGAATCTGATTGCTATCAAACAATGTTAAGCAACACCAGGCTGCACGGTTTGTCATGATTGAAATTTTTAAGAAAGATACGACTGAGGAGACGATTTGTGCTCTTATTAATGAAGTTTTGCAATTTGTATCACAGATGATTGAAGATGAGATTTGAGAACCTACTAAATTGTGAAACGGTCTGTACCTGCATTCATAAAGAACGCTACAGCTGTAGTGGCTATCATTCATGAGATCACCGAGTTTCTTAAGCTTGTCTTCCTCACTGCCAAAAGAACATTCCTCAACATTAAAAAATGGGAAAAAGAGTAACAATTTTCTCTCTACCTTCCTGGACGTACGATGTAATTTAGAACTGAAGTTTGTGTAAATTCACTTTGTTATAAGAGAATTAACAAATGAAAATCATGTAAGAGTAATGAAAACATAAAAAGGCTGTTTGATAATTCTACAAACCATCACTTACCTTAAACTTGATGAAACTGCATCCTTGAAAGCATAGACCCGCCTGGCTTCAGAGTACACGTGGGACGCTCGCTGAAAAAATCGACCAATTTTTTTATTGAGAGAGACAGAGAGAGAACATAGGACCAAAGAGATCAATAAGCAAGCCTACACTAGCTAGAGAGAATTGAAAATAGAGATCAATAAGCATGTCTACCCTAGCTTGAAATGGAAAGGTAGAATTAGGAACAGAAGGTAATGTTCGTGGAACATGCAAGTACCACGGAGAAACGAAACACGGTAGCAATCGCAAACATAATATACCTGATACAACTTGAAATGCTTGGCAGCTTTCAAAACATCCAATGAAGTTGGAGAATTGTCTAAAACGGACGGCAGATTGTCCACAGTGATTTGTTCAATCTCTTCAGCTGTATAGGGTTCCTCCTTCAACAGTTCCTTTGGAAGAGAGAGACAGAGCAATAAGAATATGCTGAAACTTGATAAAGGAATGAAAGAATGTCCCAAAATGGGAGGATTTGTGAAATCGTGTCCCATGGTCATCAAATAAGAGCTTGTACAATAATATTACAAAATCCCAAAACAAATTAAATAATGATCAAATCATTTCTGAAAATATTTTAGAAGATTGTATTATAAACCCAGCAGCATGTATCATCATTACAACAAATATTTGTGTGTTTTGTTTTTCCCTTCAAACAAGAACTGATAACATGTCTTGGTGCAAAAAAAATCAAAAGAAAATACCTTGACTGCAAGCACAGGATCTGAAGAGTTACGCTCCTTAGCAAATGAAAGACACAGCCCTTCCACATCAGATAAAGTCTTCACTTTTTCTACTGCTTCTTTCGGTTTCATCCCAAGCTTTATGCCTAGAACAATCTGAAAATCATCTGGAATCATTATTTGGATACATTTAAATCAAAAAGTTCAAAATAGACACCAAATTTTAAACCGTCGGCAGAAGGAAAAGGGAGATAATGAATACCTCAATTCCTTGGAAGTTGGAATTTAAAAATAAGATTTATAGATCACATTGTAAAGAACCGAAAAATTATATAACACAAGTAAAAAGGCAGCTAGTGTCTTTCACTAACAATAGGTGGAAATACATCATACATCATATTAACATTAGAACTTACAGAAGCAAGTCGGCATTCGACAACTCTGTTATTATAATTTGTGGCAGCAGTGACAGCTTTCTGTGATTCGGCTAGAGAATGTGCTATAACAAAAGTCCCACCAGAAGGAAGTTGCACATCAGTAGCGCGAATAGGGTTGAAATCAATCAGTTCTGCAAAACCAGATTTGGCCATGACAGAGATTGCCTGCAAGGATAATTGGATAGCGTTTACAATCATTGGAAACTATTTGAAGCTAGAAAGAAACTCTCATATTGACCATTACATAGAATTGAAATGTAGCCACAGATCAACTTTCTAAATAATCGAACAAATAGATTTATTCTCACATTAGTATTTCAGTTAAGCGATTGTAGTGAGAATCTATCTGTGGCCTTTGCAATAAAATACTATCAAACAAAACCCACCAATAGCACAAGCCGTTTAATGAGGAAAACGATGGGCCTGCTTGGCCAATCGTTCAGTTTGTATAATTGTTCCTAAGGACTGTGATTAGGTGGCTTGAATATTAAGGTTATTATATAACTATTAAGAAACACATGATTTTCAAAAAAAGAACAACTTCAAGTATTCTCCTAGACAAATTATTCACAAGTCACGAGTATAATTAAAGAAAAAAGGGAAAAATATAGATAAGAGTTAGCTGAACATGTGTTCCTCTCTCTTTTTCCAAAAAAATAGATAATAGTTTTAAAGAACTTTTTCACAACCCTTTATTGCTCTGTTCTCCATGTCAAGTCTATTAATTGCAAAGTAAAGAAAAAATACCTGATCCATTCCACCAGATTGTGTACCAATGTGTCGTTCACATTCACAGGTAAGTTGGGCAATTTCTTTCTGTACCACAAGGGAATTTTTGTAAGATTCCTTAGATTTAATCTGACTAAAAATCACATAATTGAGCTCCATTGATGTGGCAACAACCAACTTAACCAAATCAACTCAAGCTAAATCACAATATGCAAGTGTACCAAGTAGCATTTGGTAAGTAGTAGATGACTAGATGGACAAATTCTGATTCATTTAACCAAAAAAGACAATGAGAATGCAATCATGTTCAGCCAGTGGACCCAAATTTTTTTAATAATGCTTACTACAGTGCTATAGATTTAGCTCATTGTCCCCAACAATTCACTTTGAAGTTTATGAATTAAGC